AGTGCGCAGCTTGTGTGTCCGCCATCTCGACGACAGCTGAGTATCATGATCTGGGGTTGTGTTTGTATAAAAGGAATGGGAACTTTAACTAGTGTAGAAGGTAACATAAATGCAAGAAAATATATTGAAATATTAGACAACAACCTTTGGCCCGTTTTAGCCAGACATTTTCCAGATAACGCATTTGTATTCATGGACGACAATGCTCCCGTTCATAGAGCTAATTTAGTAAAAGAATACATCGCCAATAACAATATAATAACAACATCATGGCCTGCCCAGTCCCCTGATCTAAATATCATCGAGAACATTTGGTTAAAATTAAAAAGAACACTGGAAACCCGTGCCGAATTCATTAACACAAAAGATCAGCTGATGGCGGAAATTCGGACTGCCTGGGAAAATATACCAACTTCCGACATCGAGGCCCTGTATAAGACAATTCCCGGCAGACTAAATGAAGTATTAAAGATGAAAGGCAATTTAACAAAGTATTGAGGTAAGATGGGCATTTATTAATTTTTAAACAGCTCCTAAATATCAAGGTGCGCTTTGTAAAACTTCGGCGGCCATTTTGAAGTGGCGAATAATTATGTCCCTTGACTGTAGTCCATGAAATCAGCCGAGGTTTGCCGAGTGCGCCTACATATGACATTCATTTTATTAAAACATCATGAACTAAATTACTACGGTTATCCCTATTGGAAACCCCAACTCCGTAATAAAATTATTGTCTACTTTCGTTTTCGGTGGAGGATAAAATTGTGTATTTTTAACATAACTGTGATCAAGAGGGCATAGCAATGTAAATGTATAAAAATAAAAAATAAAATCTTCAACATAAATTTGAAAATTAAAGAGTTAAGTGTGAATATTTTGAAATGGAATCTCCCTTTAAAGCCCCCCTGGATACAATAAAACAAACTTCCTTCATAACATGGCAACAAAAAATGACACCAGGTAATATGCTTTAGATTCATTGCTCTTTACATTAATATAAGTACACATTGATTACATTTTATTGCATATTGTTTTTGAGGAGAGATATTTTCAGAGTATATTCATCATATAGTAAAAAGGCATAAATTCTTTAAAAAGAAAGTAGGGATATAAAATTCCAATCAATATTTCAAAGAAATACAGTGTAATAATAAAGCATTTTTGCTACAAATTTAACACAGCCCTTCCTTAACACCAGAACCCAGGGTTATGAAATTTGCAAATTTGGAAGAGGTCCCCTTAACATCATACCGGGTAATTATACAATAAGTTGAAAATTGTCTTACTCGTGTGATCCTTTTACACTCCAGGCCCTAAGGATCATGAAGCATCTTAAGCTTAAGTAAAAATCTTCATGCTGTACTTATATGTTGTGGAAGTCAAGCAGACCAAAATTAAAATAAGTTTCAAGATTGATTCACAAATGTGCTGTTCTTGGGATTAAAGTCTAAGTCTGTTTTATGATCCCGGGGCCAGAACTTCAAAAATATTATTAGTTACACAGTCAGTTAGTGACCTAATACGGATTCATACAGGGTGTGAAATGGAAATCCGTATTGGGCGAGGCGAAGCCGAGTCCCAATACGGATTTCCATTTCACACCCTGTATGAATCCGTATTAGGTCACTATAACTGACTGTGTAACGAATTTATCCCGCTGAAGACCTTTTTCAATATAAAAAAAATATTTGTGCATATTATGAAAATATTAGTTTTAATTCAATAACAATCAACATAAAATATCGTTACGGTAACAAGAAATTTAACTAATTTATTAAACGCGTGCCCGATTTTCATATTATGAAATTTTCCGTATTACGTCTCCGTTTCCATATTACGTCTCCGTCGAGCAATCTCTCACCAGAGGGCGTTGTATACGCTCCGCTCCAACACGTGTAAGCGGAGTGCGCCCTCTGGTGAGAGATTGCTCGACGGCGACGTAATATGGAAACGGAGACGTAATACGGAAAATTTCAGGGCGTCACGTGATTAGCTTTTATCCAATCAGTAATCGACAAATTTGTCTGAAGCGGGATAATATTAGTTATGTAGACACTTAGAGGGGTAATACGGAAATATGTGGGGTCCTTGAAAAAATCCATATTGGGCGAGGCGTAAGCCGAGCCCAATATGCATTTTTTCAAGGACCCCACATATTTCCGTATTACCCCTCTAAGTGTCTACATAACGAATTTATCCTGTCGATGATTCACTTAAAGATTAGATATTGATAGTATCAATAAACCGCTTTCACTGAACTTCCAAGCAAGACGTTCTACATCCATTGTACGTTGTCGTCAGACGCATTGTGACGTCAGATATGAAGCTCCGTGTGGGTCACGTGAAAGCAGTATATTGATGATGTGTGGTTGGTAAATTTTTAATATATGGTGGGTAGTTCACGTGGAGGGGGCACATTAGCAATGTGAGGTGGGTAGACAACATAACATCGTTTCATGCAGTATTGCTCTCGGCCAATGAAATTTCACGATTTTTATCAGAGGCAGGATAAATTGTTTTCTATGCTTTGTAAACGAATAATATGGTTTATTGTGGATATGAAAAAAAAAATGCATAAATTGAGTTTAAATATCACATTAAGGTTTCATCAAAGGTCAGCATGTCCAAAAATATATTTTTAAAATATAGCCCCAAAACTATTTGGTTTATAAAATTGAAACTTTTACATAAATATATCATTGATTAACAGATACATGTAGAAAGTACCACTTGATAACAAATACTAAATAAAATATTTATCGAGAAAAAAATCTTTTAAAAGATGCCTATATTTTTTTTTTTAAAATACACCTAATTAATTCCATATTATTAGTGAAGGTCATTATTGCAAAAAAATGTTTATCAAGGTTTCTGGAAAGTTGTTTTCCCCGTTTATTTTGTACTAATGTGAAGATTTGAAACGGAAAGTACATTGCACATGGCGGATTTTAAATATAGGGATCTTGTTTTTATACACGTCATGCGTTCAATAAGAGCCTTTCAAAGACCGTTAATCTCTAACCTGATCTTCATTGATAAACATATATTATTTCTGCAATGATGATTTTCACTAAAATTATTAAAGTAAGCAGGTGCACCTTAACCAAAAAATATCCACATTTTTTGATATATATATATATTTCGATAAATATTTTTTAACTGTTTGTTTTCAAGTGATACTTTCTATCTGTTAAACAATGATATATTGATAAACTGTTAAAGTTTTAACTTTATACCTCCTATTGTTTGGAGCTATTGTAAAAATATTTTTTTGACATGTTGACCTTAGTGAAACCTGAAACATTCAACTTTACGCCTGCCCGTCTAATCCATAAAAATGCATTGATTTCATAACATGTAAATCTAGACAACTTTGTGTATTGTTTCTGATATGATTATTTTATTGATAAGCTCACGGTATATGTTAATAAGCAACTTAATAAGTCTACAAGACATGCAACATTTTATGTCAACATGCAAAATAATTGTGTTGACATGCAATTCGCAAATCTTATTAGAAAAAATAACGTAAATATGGGTAAATCTACTTAATAACGCCTGTTTCAGACATCATACATACATGTAGGTAAATACATATATAATTTTTTTTTTTTAAAAAGTAGGGGATATTGAATTTACAAGGACAATGAACTGCAGATGAAATCATTTGGAACCGTGTGTACAGTCATAAAAAGACGTTGAGAGATTCAAGAATAAGGGTTGTGGCAACGCACTTTGAAAAAATTAAGCACTTTGAAAAAATTTTTCAAAGTGCGTTAAAATTGGGACAAAATCAACGCACTTTGAAAAAATGTTTCAAAGTGCGTTAAATTTGGGACCAACTAAACGCACTTTGAAAAAATTTTTCGAAGTGCGTTAAGAGTCTACATCAATATATTTTACCATGGAGACACTTAACGCACTTTGAAAAAAAATCATATTTTAGTCATGGAAAGATTTTATTTGTTATTTATTTTTCAAAAAACTAAGCCTAACCCTAACTTCAAAAATGAATTGATTTACTCCCGTCGAAAAGAGGAGAAGACGGGTATAAGATCCCTCAGTCCAAATCTTTATCTTTCCAATACAATGTACATAGGTGTCGGTAACAAACGGGTGAGGGGAGCAATAAACCTAAAAAGGGTACGCTGCATTTTCAATGCTTATACGATGTAATATAGAATTTTTTATATTATTTTCATTTTTTACCTTAATAATTAATATTACTGATTATATCTATTTTTATCATTATTTTGTACTATATGTATGTGTTTGTGGTTTATCTTTCCAAAATAAGTGGGGGGGGGGCTTAGCCCCCCCATCCCCTCCCCTGGCCCTTCGCCCAGTCTCGATGTCTATGCTATACTCAAAGCATTCATATAATTATGTATTTTTTACCTAACTGTTATGACGTTGAAAACTTTCAAAAATAAATGAGTTAATTAAAACAGATGAAAACTTAAAAATTTTTTAAGTACAGTAAAAAATTTGAGAGAGAAAGAATTTTCATAGTTTTGAACAATCAAATTGGCCCCTTTTTATTATGATAAATGCTAAGTTGCTTGAAGCTGTCCTCTGTTAGTGCTCCCTATACACCTTTACATCTACTTATCAAAGACTAGAATTTAAAAAAAGAAGAAACGAATTAATGAACTTAAACAATCGTCACTCTTTTTTTCAAGACCCTTTAATTTTCCCTTTTATTTTATCAAAACCTTAGATATTTAAAAACGTCAATATCTCAGGTCCTACAGTCACTTTATCATAAAAAAGTTATCAAACCAGGATCTGTTATTCATCATACCGATTATTTGAAGGAATATTGATTAATCTTTACATTTTTTTTCAAAGTGCCTTAATATGGTCAATATTAACGCACTTTGAAAAAAAAAAATTTCAAAGTGCGTTAGCTTGGTCCCAAATTTTAACGCACTTTGAAATTTTTTTTCAAACTGCGTAATTTTTCAAAGTGCGTTGTAACAAAGGGTTTACACCAAAAGATGGCCAAACAGCAAATGCCCAATTGTGAAACACAGTCAGTGAAGGACTTTTGTGAGAAACACTGACTTTTAGAACAGTTAACGGTTAACTTTGACATTTAAAGGAGGTACAGAATTAATAATAGATTATAAAACCTTTCTAATGGCCAAAGGTATGGTTTTAGGGGCACGAACATGTGAAGGCCGAGATTTGAGGGTAGGGTGGTTGTCATTCTCTTCAAAGACAACTTATAATTATGTGCATTGAAATAATCCGTTATTTACGTTGAATTAACTGTTATATCGTTAAAGAGCTTCCGTATGTTTTCGTTGCGTAAAAGTAAGCCGTCGACTGTGAAAGTCAGCGCTCCTCGCAAAAGTCAATTACCCCTTCTGTTGGACAAACAAGCTTGCCTTTCGAGTTGCATACCACTAACGAGACGTCCCAGGTTATTTTGGGGAAGGTCATTTCATTCTTGTTGCAATACTGCAGCAAGTTAATGGACATTGGCAGGAGGTTGTTGACACTTTCCAAGAATGTCCAAGACATGTTCGATGGGAGGAAGGTCCGAACTGAGTGTGGGCCAAGGAAATGTGGTGATATTCTGCTGTTGGGAGATGGGAGATAATCTGTAACGATCCTGGTCCTATGACATCTTGGATTGTTATCTTGTAAAATGAAACGGTGGCCATAACGACTTGCAAATGGAACAGCAAGATGTTTTCCTGGTACAACTGCTATGTGGCACATCCAGAAAAAAACATGCAAGTCTGTTCTGCCTGCATCAGTAATGCATCCCCACACCATTACAGATGCACCCCAATTCCGATCGTGGCTAATGACGTTAACGTCATGGAAATGTTCGTTTCATAGGCACCAAACCCTTTTTTGTCTATCCATGGAGTTCACAATAAACCTCGACTCATCTTAGAATATTATATGATTCCATCGGTTGTTATCCCAGGGTTGATGGTGACGACACCATTGGAGTCGGGGCCTAATGTGACGATCCCTCAAACAGGGAATGACACAAGGATGTCGGGCGTGTGAGTGAAATCTGTGCAGTCAATTTCGGATGATCATGTGACTCACTACCAAAGAAGTATGCCTTGAAGTTGAGACCTTATCTGATTTGCTGTTACCAGACGATTTCTCAAGGCAATAGTGAGGATGAATCTGTCCTGAGCCTGAGTTGTTGACCTTGGTCGACCATATCGTTGTCTATCCTGAACAGACCTTGTAGCACGATGTCTGGACCATAATCTGTTGGTAACAGTTTGCAAAACATTCATTGCCCTTGCCACAGCGACCTGACGTGCCAACTTGTAGCAAGGGAAGGGCACGTATCCTCATATCCCCTACTTTTTAAAATAATACACATGATTATGTGGACATGTGACTTATTTATGTTACATGGAAGATGATTATGTAGACATGCAACTTAAATTTGCTAACATGCTATATATATATATATATATATATATATATATATATATATATATATATATATATATATATATATATATATATATATATATATATATATATATATTAGGGACGTCAACGAGTACCCGGTTAACCGGGTACTCGATCGAACGTCCGAGTATCGAATACTAAAATTGGTACTCGGTTACTCGGATGTATATTTTTAAATATTTCTAAGCTTATTTATTAATGCATTAAAACATCGGTTTTAAAATGTAAAATGTTCATTGCACTTGTACATACAGTATTTAGGGTTTCCTATGCCTCTAAATGACCGTTATCGCCTGTGGCAGTGTTTATACAGTAATTATCGTGACCAAACACCTGATGTACCTACCCGGGCTTTTCTCACCTTCGACTGTCGTCTTCCCTTATCTTTAGTTTGCTTTAATTATTTGTTTTCATTGAACATCGTTTAAGGTCCATTATATTTAAACAAATTAAATAATTTTGTCAATTCTCCAAGAAGCCGTAAATTCTCGGGAAAGAGACAGACGATATTGTTGACTTGGGTGCATTTGATTACATGCCAATTAATGCAAATGCTTTATAAATCTTATGTCCATCGTTGCTCTAAACTACAACATACCGTATCATAATTCTATGAAATCAAGGATCAAAAAGTGTACGAAGATCGTATAAATCCGCTCTGTTATAGGATAACTTGATCAAGTTTATACCGTACATATAGCCGGACATATAGCTCAGACAACTTATCACTTGGACATCAAACGCACCAAAGAGTTACATTACAATTACAGAACAGATTATTTTTTAAACAAAAACACTGTGAACCATTTCTGATTTTATTTCCCGTATTTATCTGATAAATAAATTGAACTTAAAAAAATGTTAGATGAAATTTCGTCGGTAACAAAGTGGTCATAATTGTTACAACGCATTTGCAGGTAACCTCCCATCGGTTTTATTTCTACAAGAGTTTACAATGTTTTACTTTTATCAATTAACTTGTTCATATTTATTTACACTTTTACCGAGTACCCGGGTACTCGATCGGAAAAACGTCCGAGTAACCGAGTATCAAAAATTGACTGATTTGACATCCCTAAATATATATATATATATATATATATATATGAAAATTATTTTAAATAAATAAAAACACAGAGAACGAGTAAAACATAAGCGCTTTCATTTCTTCTTCATGATGTTTTACAATACTCATGGTAACGTCTATTATGACGTCATAATAACTTAACGTTAACAAGTCTTTGAATGACGTCATATTTTTCCCGTACTTTCACAGAACAATGCATTAACAAAGCATACAAAATCAAAGCAATAAATGTGACTCAGTAACATAATTTACATGTAAAGAAACAATTCTTTTTACATTAAACAATTTAATTTAAGTTTGAAAGTCTTTATAAAATGTCTTTCTTTATCACGTCTTTCGATTGTGTTAGAGTTGTGCAGTTTATAAAATGGAAAGACAGTAAAAGTTCTATTTCCGCACACGTCTAAGTGTTCACTGACTTTGAGTTTGCGATATTGCGGTACGTTTATTTGTTGTTTGTGTACTCTGATCCTTTCCCGTAAGGTACTTCCCGTCTCGCCGATATATAGTTCCCCGCAACCGGAACATGTTATAACGTATATAACATTTCTAGTTTGACATGACATGTTATTATTAACAGTAAACTGTTACAAGTTCGCAAAAATACAACACTCAGAAAAAACAAATGTGTAGTAAACCAAAGATACACAAACAAAGTATTCCATTCAAAGCAAATCAGAACCCTAAATCATATGGAAAACCATCTTCAAGAGACGACAAATATTACCATCAATCTAAAGGCTATTCACACAACATGTACGAAACTAACCGTGTGACATACATAGGAAGAAATGCCAGAAACTATTTTTTAGGAGGAGGCAAACCCAACCAAGGGGCAAACAACTTATTTCCGAACCAGCAAAAGAAGTACAGGAATCACTAACACCACCCATTGAACACACGACGAAAGGTGCCGAACAAGATCTGAATTCTAAACCTACAATAAAAAACGTTGACCCTAAAGTTATCAACCTTTCTAACAGACCTTTAAGTGACTCGGAGGTACATCTGTTATCGAAAGGTTTTAAACTTACTCCTACGCCTCATAGTAATAGTCAAGAATTAAGGACCGATATTAAAGAATATACAAGAAAATTGAGGCTAGCGGAATATTTTAATAAAGAAAACGAGAGTGATTCAGATTCAGAAGAGGAAGAAGACCTCGTACGCAACAAATCTCACTTTAACCCTAAAAAAGGACGAAACGAAATTCTAGATGTTGTTTGTGAGACATTAAATACTTTGCCGCTGAATAAAAACAAAGAAAACCAAAAAATAAAATGGAATCTAACAAAAGAAGAGAAGAATGCACTTCAATCATTGTCGAGTGATGAATCCATTGTTATAAAAGAAGCAGACAAAGGTGGCGCAATTGTAATCATGGATTCTAATTTTTATAAAGTTCATATAATGAACATGCTATCGAATACGGAGTACTACGAAGAAATTCCAAACAACAATGATAAAAAAACAATGCAAAAAATTAAGAATCTTTTGAAACGCCATAAAACTACATCAAGTTTAACAGAGAAAGAGGAAGACTTCTTAATGGATTATGAATACAGTGAAAGCAATTTTTATGGACTACCAAAGATTCATAAATCTAGACAAATAAAAGAGGCTATCAAATCCCAGTGCTCGGAATACATAATCTGTCCCTATCCAGAAGATCTCACATTTCGACCAATAGTAGGTGGGCCATCGGCACCAACACAGAGACTTAGTCATCTACTAGACATTCTTCTAAAACCATTATGTTCTGGAGTCAAAAGTTATGTACGAGATGACTTTGATTTTCTACGTCATTTACCCGAGAAAGTGGAAAATAATAGTAAACTCGTTACACTGGATGTAATAAACTTGTACAGCAATATATCAAGTTCCCTAGGACTAGAAGCCGTGGATTACTGGATAAGTAAAAATCCCGAAAAAATTAGCGGCAGATTTACAAAGGATTTTATATCAGAAGCAACAGAAATAGTACTATCAAATAATACATTCGCGTTTAATGGAAAACATTTTAAACAAATAAAAGGAACGGCTATGGGCACAAAGATGGCCCCTACGTATGCCACATTAACATTAGGATACTTAGAAGAAAAAATGTATAAGAAAGTGGAAGAGCAGTTCAACGAAGAGATGAAACTTTATATTACTAACAACTGGAAAAGATATCTGGACGACTGTTTTATTGTTTGGAAATACAGTAACAACGAATTGTCTACCTTTAAAACATTACTGAATGAACTTAATCCTGATTTAAGATTTACAGCGGAGGAAAGTACAGATAGAATTCCATTTCTGGATATCATGGTAATTAAGGAAAACGATGTCATTTTAGCAGATATCTATTACAAGCCAACAGACACGCATCAGTATCTTCATTTTAATTCGTGCCATCCACGGCATACGAAAAGAGCCATCCCTTATAATTTAGCAAGGAGAATATGCACCATCGTAAATAAGGAAACAACCAAAATACAAAGACTACAAGAACTGAAAGAGTATCTACGGAAACAAAGTTATCCCGAAAAAATTATTGATAATGCTATTAAAAAGGCCATGGATTTAGACAGAGAGGACCTCCTCAACCCTGTGCAACAAAACAAGACGGATTCCAGGATCTTGCCTTTAGTAACGACCCATAATCCCCAGAATACAAACGTTGCACCGATTGTTTACCAACTCAACGACGTTTTGAAAACAGACGAAACTATGTCTAAAATATTTAAACATCGGAAATTCATAAACAGTAGGAGGCAGCCGAAGAACCTCAGACGAATTCTCACAAAGTCTTCTTTTAAAGAAACGACAGAATTTCATGTGACCAAGTGCCAGGATCCGCGTTGTGGTACCTGCCCATACATACGACAAGGACAAAGTTTCAACTTTAACGGGAAACAGTTTACTGTTAATAATAACATGTCATGTCAAACTAGAAATGTTATATACGTTATAACATGTTCCGGTTGCGGGGAACTATATATCGGCGAGACGGGAAGTACCTTACGGGAAAGGATCAGAGTACACAAACAACAAATAAACGTACCGCAATATCGCAAACTCAAAGTCAGTGAACACTTAGACGTGTGCGGAAATAGAACTTTTACTGTCTTTCCATTTTATAAACTGCACAACTCTAACACAATCGAAAGACGTGATAAAGAAAGACATTTTATAAAGACTTTCAAACCTAAATTAAATAGTTTAATGTAAAAGAATTGTTTCTTTACATGTAAATTATGTTACTGAGTCACATTTATTGCTTTGTTTTTGTATGCTTTGTTAATGCATTGTTCTGTGAAAGTACGGGAAAAATATGACGTCATTCAAAGACTTGTTAACGTTAAGTTATTATGACGTCATAATAGACGTTACCATGAGTATTGTAAAACATCATGAAGAAGAAATGAAAGCGCTTATGTTTTACTCGTTCTCTGTGTTTTTATTTATTTAAAATAATTTTCATATTTATCACCGACCACTGTGATTTTTCTTGGATTTATCTATATATATATATATATATATATATATATATATATATATATATATATATATATATATATTAACATACTGATACAACTTATTATCTTGCATGTTGATATAAATAAATTGCATGTCAACATAATTATAAATAATACTACATATGTTACCATATATCGAGGTTGTACATTGATAATGTAATTAAAATAGATAATTTGATGAATGTGCTACAGTCATAGTTAATTTATAAAATACATGTTTTCTTTCCAGATGACCATTGCGAGATATATCTGTACCAAATGGATGGAAAAGATAGTATAAACAATATGAATGAGTACATATATACTATAAATGTTGTATTCTATGTAAAGTGTTTCACATAAAAAAGACAATTACAAACGATCGAAGAACAGAGTAATGGTGTGTTGTTAATGAAATTGTTTCCAGAACATAAACAAATTCCTTGACATATGTTGTTTTATTTGTCAGTGACATTAGATTTAACATATTCATGTTCTTGAGTAAGCAATTAAATGATGGCGGAGAAGAGAGAAAGTGAAGGAAGGACAGGCGAGGAGGAAAATGTAAGTTTATATTTTAAGATGTTAGTTCTACAAATTTAAGTCAATTCCATGCAGCCACCACGCTCCGATGATAACAGCATACTTGTTCAGGTGTAACGACGAAAAGTGACCCCGTAGAATATTGACCCGGGGTCATTTTTCTACATAGAAATTTGACCCCCTGGTCAATATTCTACGTAGAAAAATGACCCACTTTTCTGTAGAAATTATGGCCTTGGGGTCGTTTTTCTCCGTGTGCATTGTAGAAAAATGACCCCGTAGAATAATGAGCCCTTGTCATTTTTTGATGCAAAAACTATCGTTTTGGTAGGAATATTCTTGTTCGGCGAATGTATACGGGTAATATCAAGCAGCCTTATGCTTTGAAGTGTTAATTTCTGAAAGCTTTTAAGCTTAAATAACGAAATCAAAGCTATACGATACCTTAAATTAATAATACAAACCGCTTTATCCTCATAAAATTAAGGAAAACAATATCTACATGTATTAAAATGTTATAAGGCTATTAGGGCAAAGATATGCGCGCATTCATAGAATCGTTTATTACATTTGATACAGCAAGTTACCACAGTTGTCATTTTAATCTTGAAAGGGTCATTGCCTAGCTGGTGTCAGAAGAAAGTTTTAAAAGTTTCCATAATTGAATAATTATTAATCTCTTTGATTTTACGCTGAATAAATAATTTGCAAAACTCAATTTTTCAGAAGTTTAACGTTTTTGATCCCTACTTTTAAAACTGGCGCGAAAAAGGGCGCTAGATTAGAAAAATAGATCTCATAAAAATATTTGGTGTTCTATGAATGGAGTTTCAAACTTCTCATAAAGAATAGGGATGATTTAATTTGTAAAAATAAGTACGAAATTAAATTGTCTCTGACCTATGATATAAAGGAAACAAAAAGTGGTTAGCTCAAAACCTGTAAAATGTCTTTTGCCGTTTGCTAGTGTCAACAAAACCTTAACAAAATGGAGGTTGTAGCATAAAACATGATTACCTAAAAAAAAAAGAAGAAGTGCCCGACTTTCCAAAATTGGCACAGTCATGTAGTATCGTTTTCCCCGTTCTACATGTACACGTACTTACATGTGATGATTTTAGGAGTTTTTTTAGCAGTAGAAAAAAGCAAAACAAATGTTGGATTATGAAAAAGTTATTACTTTACATATTATACTTATGCCTCCGTGAACGAATTTTCGGGAAGGGGGGTTATATAGTTTTTAACCTGTCCATCCGTCTGTCTGTTTGTTTATTTCTCTGCAAAAACTTGAACCTTGCCCATAACTTTAGACCGGATGGGACTATGGCTTTCATATTTCAGGTGTATTTTTGTGACAAGACCATTTTTCTGTGTACAACCAATTTTGACCTTTTGTCCTTGACTTTGGAGTTTGACACACTTTTACACAAAAATTTCAAATTTTTACTTTGGCATTGACTTTTAGACGGTATGTGCTAGGAATTTAGATATCGAAGTTATGGCATGATAGACTAAGAGTGCATTTGTATTTGCATAAACTATAAAACCTCAGAAGAAAGGGGACGTTACAGCAACCATTCGTCAGGTGTCGGTGGGCTAAAAAGTGTTGAAAACGACAGTTTTTTTTAATTATGGATATCTCTGAAGGTTGAACTATTATTCACTCAGATGTAAATTTTTGCCAGTTTTGGAGGACTTTTTAAAATATCATTCTAAGAACGTTCTCGATGTGCATGTATGGTATTTCCCGTATATACAGGAAAAAGTACAGTACCTTATATAAGTAAGTTAAAAAGTATGTATTTTAAAGCAGAATGCATACAAATGTATATGTAAGTTTAAAAGTAAGAGCTAAGGGAATTGAATTTATATAGTTAAATTACGTTGCTTTTCTTGCTTCTATGCTATGTTTTTGGATTTGTAAAATTTTTCAACGTTTATGGTTATCAGAAACATAACATGCCATTTTGGAACAAAAACTTTGAATGATATAAAAAACACCCCAAAATATAACCATATTTATGCTCCTCAATAAAGAAGGATATGGAGAACACGAACAGTATTCAATATCAAAGTCTATAAAACAATACAAAATAGGAGCAGAGCAAACACGGACCTCCAAAACATCAGATGTGGGATCAGGTGCCAGCCATGGAGGAGTGAGCCTCCCTAGCTGACCGGTCACACCCGCCGTGTGCTCCTTGTCATGATTGGAAAATAATGGAAAAATCCGCCGTAAATTCAGTGTATAAATAATGGACTAACAATTTGTATGAAAAACGTCAGTCAGCATTTGACTCAAGGATAAATTGTATTTGCTGACAAGGTCATTGTATCGACCATAGAACTTACGAAATGATGACTTTAAACGAGACTGCTGATATTCTTCTTTCATCAACTTGCTTGTCAATAATTTACCTCGTTTTAGAAATTGTTCATACGTAGGACATGCTCTTGCGTATCGAATCAGCTGAGAAATATAAACTCCGTATGCAGGTGATGAAGATACATTGCTGCATAAATATAAGGGAGGTTGACGATAGAAACGTTAACGTCATCACGTTTATCATATAGCTTGGTTGTTAGATTACCATTAACGCCTTTTTATAGTAAAATGTCCAAGTATGAAACAGATGTGTCAGACTCTGTGGTATCTTTTATCTCTAGTTCACCAGGATATATCGTATCGAGGTAGGAATGGAAATTACCATTGTTAATTGACGATACGTCGTCGATATATCTAAATGTCGATTTGAAAGCCACAGCAAGTGTTTTCTTCTTTTCACGCATAAGATTTTGCACAAATTCTGCTTCATATGAATACAAAAATAAGTCTGCTAATAACGGAGCGCAATTGGTACCCATGGGAATTCCAATAGATTGTTGGAAGACCTGGTCTTAAAAAACCACATAGATATTGTTAATCAGAAACTCAAATATCTTCTTGATGTCAACTTCAGAGTACTTGTGTATGCAGTCAGAATGTGTTTTAACAAAATAATTTTGCAAATGACCAAGTAAGTAAATTTATGAGCTCCATTTTTATTGAAAAGGCACCTGTCAATGATATAATAAAAGCGAGGACTTAATTTATCGTGGGAAATGGTTGTGTATAAACGTGAAAAGTCGTAAGTTTTTAAGCTGTTGATTTTGGAAAAATCTTGTGATTTCAAATTGTCCAAAAGTTCTTTGGAATTTTTGAGCATCAACATCTGATTTACACCACTTCTTGAATATATTGTTGCACAGTGATGCTAGTATTAAGATATATGCAATCAAATATATGTTGGAAAGGATTAAAGTACATCAAAATATCCCTCCTACTTGCATTTGAAAGTATAAAAAATATCAGGAGACACATATATAAGGTTTTATTGTATAAAAAAGTAGGGGGTCAAATTTCTATGGGGGTCATTTTTCAACGTGTGTGGAGTCGTAGAATTACTGGTCTGGAATGTTTTTCTACAGTCGAAAAATGACCCTACTTGTCATAGAATATTGACCCGGGGTCATTTTTCTACGTAGAAAAATGACCCCCTGGTCAATATTCTACGGGGGTCACTTTTCGTCGTTATACCGGCGTATATGAATAGAACACACTCTTTATCAGTTATAAGTGACAGACTTCTCAGTATGATACAGGTTTGTATCATATAGACTGTAAATAATGATAAAAATTGTATTTCATCAATAGGACGTTAAAAGAAAAAGATTGAAGACAAACATTTCTGCAGCTAATCGCAACATTTCTGATGGCCCAAGGGGAAAGTCCGAAATAAGTGAGCATCACTCTGAACAAATAGACCGACCTTTGATCTCTGGTGAGTAAAAATTTTGCAGTCTTTTAAAGATTTTCTTGGAATTATAAAAAAAATTTCCATTAACATTTGATGAATTTTAAAATTTTTAGAAGAAGTTTTTTTTCACCTCATAGAAATAAAAGTAAGGGAATATTATTTAGAACTCGTAATTTTACATCTAGCAATTAAGGGGCCGACTGGGGTTTCCATTCCGCAATATTTCACGCATCATAGTAAAATGATGCGTATAAACTGTTTTAAAGCAACTTTTTTCATTTAAATAATAAAACTAAACAAAATTAAGAATTATAAAAAAAATTTCCATTAACATTTGATGAATTTTAAAATTTTTAGAAGAAGTTTTTTTTCACCTCATAGAAATAAAAGTAAGGGAATATTATTTAGAACTCGTAATTTTACATCTAGCAATTAAGGGGCCGACTGGGGTTTCCATTCCGCAATATTTCACGCATCATAGTAAAATGATGCGTATAAACTGTTTTAAAGCAACTTTTTTCATTTAAATAATAAAACTAAACAAAATTAAGAAATTACTGGTTTTTAAACTGATAGGTAGATGGACGTCGTAATTGTGTGTTTTGACGTTAGATAAGACAATGCTCTTAAAGAATGGTAATAAAAATGTTATAAAAGAAAAAAAAGTAATAAAGATATGCTTTTGAAATTTGAAACAGAGAATTTTAATAATATCTCCATCATTTATTGATTTTGGTATAAATCCTTGTCATATTTTGTAGTACTCTATGAAACCTAGGAAATTCGTTATTTTTTTGGCATATTGAGATGGAAACAAGGCGGTAGAATTTTGTGGTTCTTACATATAATGTACAATATAGTATTACTCATCATATATTATAAATTGAGCAAAAAGTCTATTGTAGTATTTGTATAATTTGCTTTAAAGTGCGAAAATTTGACATTTTCCCATATAATCAAATAGTAAATGTACATGTATTTTGAGACGGTCCATTATAATACCTGGGCTGTATATTTACCCCAAACTTGGCATGTACATTGAAGTCAATGTAAGTTATATAAGGTATAAAAATGAAGAGATTCTATGTTGTAGTTTTCACATAAGAAAACCCCTGTCGGCCCCCTTAAATGTAGCAATAAAGCTACAAAAATTACCCATCATATATGATAAATCATCAATGCTCCCTTTTTGGAGATTGCGTTGGCAGATATGAAAAATGGTATTGTTTTTTGTACAATACAACATTATAATTTTCGTTGATATTTTGTGATATGTACTGAAAGATGATTGATCACAGATGATTACATTTCTCACAGGTCTGTTATCAGATTTAACAGACAATCAGCGTGTCGTTCTCTTCACCCTGTTTCTGTGTGGAGAAGAAAATATTGTCTATCTGGATGATGATAAGGACGTCTCTATGGGAGACATTGATGTCCAAAAGACACTGGAAGAGCTGTACGACAGAGGACTCGTGGGATGTGTCGGAAACATTAATAATACATTCATACCTCAGTATTTTATCCCAGATTACAATCGATGTGAGATAGTGGAATCTTACAGAAAGAACTGTTTGCTGAGTGACATAGACAAGGACTTTTTCTTGGACATGGTGTCAGACATGACCTTATATGATTATGTGACAGAGTCCCATATCTTTAACCTTGATGTTTCAAGTCCACAAAGCAAAAGACCTATAACAATAATGAGATTGATGATGGAGGGGAGGATGGACAGAGTAATAAAATGTTTTGGAGGTATGAATCCTTCGCTTACTTTTGTAAAGCTAGATTTGAAATAAATGTAAATCTACATCACATTAATGATTTTATTCCTTTTTAACAGATTGATGGTTAGACACATTTCTTTTAATGTCCACAATACCTTTAAAACCATAAGCCCTACTGGAAGAAAAAAATAGTGTTCCTTAATCTAATATTTAAAGATGTAACGAGTACATCATATTTTATATTTTCTTATAAAACTGTATTCTTGACAAAAAATGTTGCCTTGTTGATATACCGAAACACCATACAAACCAGTTGGATAAAGCAAAATATATTACATTCTATATTTTTTGTTTTTCTGATTCAATTTTGATTGAATAAGTACTCTAGAAAACTCCCTACACTTCCACAAAGATTTGTTTATTTTCCATCGGAATCGGTTCCACAAAATCTATGAGTTTGTTAAATGTTTTCCCCCTATCATGTTTTATTATTATTATGATTTATTTTGTTTTGTTCGCACACGTCACCACCCTAAATTAGTCCCAATAAATAAGGACACTCACTTATAAATATACCATAAGAACAACTTAAATCGTACCATAATTGATTAATTTGATAACGAATCATATTTTGCATTCGAAGGACAGTGGTAAATTCTTGATTTTATATTATAATGAGGACATTTTAATAAATAACAATATACATGTATATGTACAGTCAATAGATATAGAATGTGTGATCACCTGGGTTGAATGTCCCATATCCACCCCCACTGCTCCTCTTAAATAATCCGAAAGAAAAATAGGCATTCTGTTAAATATAAATACGCCTAAATTTTGTTTATTTGTAATTTCTGATATCATTTGTCCTTGTCAGAGGGTTGTCATCAGGAAGTAAAAAATTTATAGCAACATTCAGTGTCATTTCTGTAATAAAACATAACGAACAGTATTCCTGATCAAAAGTCCATAAAACAATACAAAATAGGAGCAGAGCAAACACGGACTTCCGAAACATCAGAGGTGGGATCAGGTGCCATGGGGAAGAGTGTAAGATAAGGAAGAAAGGAGTGCACTTTCCCAAATATTTTGCCAAAGTTTACAATTTGATCATAATATACAATATCATATTTCATTAAGATTCTTCCCACTAGTTTATGCTGAATATCTATCTCTGTGTATGTGTGTGTCTCAATCTCTCTTTCTCATTCCCTATATCTTTGCTATTTCATACCAATTGTTAGTCCATTATTTATACATTGAATTGACAATGGATTTTTTCCGTTATTTCCTGATCATGACAAGGAACACACGGCGGTTGTGACTGGTCAGCAGGTGAGGCTTACTCCCCTCCATGGTACCTGATCCCACTTCTGATGTTTCGGAGGTCCCTGTTTGCTCTGCTCCTATTTTGTATTGTTTTATGGACTTTGAAATTGAATACTGTTCGTTATCTCCATATCCATCTCTTCGATTCACTTTCTGCAATAAGAATTGTACCGTTTAAACACTGTTGGATGAAATGGATTTATTTTTTTTTCCAATCAAACTTGTTGATCTGGAGTCATCATTAAATATATGACAGTCTCACAGATAAATAGGAAATGTTTCAAATTCTTGTAATGAAAGAAATATCATTTGATAGCGTATTTTTAATACAAGTAAAAGAGTAAAAAAAACATATAAATTGATAAGGATGTATCAATCAAGGAATCTCTAATAATCTTATTTTACTCACGGTTGTCATGAGTCCTTTGTCTGTCTGCATGTCAACATTATTTAGTTTTTTGTCTTTTTTCTGGAGTACCAATGAACCAAATTTAAGCCAATCTGATAAAATGAAGGCTTGGGTAAAATAAAATCAAACTAAAGACAAATCTTTGTCCTAAAGATGAAAATCATGACCCGCAGAGGTAGGTGGGACAAGATCATAGGATCAAAGTTTACGTTTGAAAAACAAAACAAAACTTCTCTGCCAAAAAACCTTACCCATAACTTTTTAGTGGGTGGTGCTATTGCTTCCAATTTTCACAGGTTTATTCATTGTGGCAAGACCTTTCTTTTGGTTCCATCAAATTTGACGTCTTGACCTTGGAGTCTGACCATTTTTTACAAAAAAATTATCACCTGTTACTCTAGGTCATACAGTGTATCTTTTGAACAGTACGTTGGTGCTAGGGCTTTCATACTTCATACTCATTCAATGTGACAAGGCCTTTTAGTTTGCTTAATATTCTTGACCTTGACATTAGAGTTTGATCCACTATTTAAGAAAGCCATAACATGCGATCAGTTAGAACTTGGACTTTTATATTTCACTGGTATATTTCCTGTGGCAAGACGTTCCTTTGGGTATCAACAATTTTAACCTTTTGACCTTGAACTAGAAAATCAACCCTCGCCAAAAACTGCCATATGGGTGAATCAGTGTTTTACAAGTACGTCTTGTTTTCTTTTGTTCTTGGTGTACATTTGAAAAAAGTTATTGTAATAACCAATAAAATAAAATTGATCTTTTTTTCTGTGCCACACAGAGAGCGTTGACAGAATAGTTCCGAATCAATTCTACAATGATTCTGAAAATTTTGTCCAATTTTGGAAGAATTACTGTACCCGGAGAAACATACATCCTACCGATTGGTCTAATGGAGTCCATGATACAGATGTCAAGAGATATTACTCATTATATACAATCCTTTCTGGACACGAGGAAGGTAAACAAGAATGCATTTACGTGACATATTATTTATAAAGGATAGAATTTGTTCAAGAACAAAACTTATTATTGAATACAAATATCGCCAAACATTTAAGCAACTTTTTAAATCGATAAATAGAATACATAAATTGTATTCAGACTTTATCGTTTGAATTACTTTTAAACTGCACAAATTTACTTTCAGAATTCATGCAATTGGTTTTAAACAAGCCAAAATGGAGCATACTTGTACTTATTTTGTTATCAAAGAAGTACCGTATTTTATACGCAGAAAAATTGTTGGAAGAGAAAGTCGAACGAATACGGCATACATTTTTAACACTGATTGATTCTGAAGATGGAATGTCTGATATCACGTTACTTATACAAGAATTAATTGACAAGGATAAAATACTAAAGATGAATAAAGAGAAGAATACACTAGAGTTTATATCAGAGGATGCACGTCATCTTGTAATAGGATACTTTGTTCTGAACTGTTTAAACTCGGATGAGGACTACAAGAACTACATTAAATTGTCATCATTTGACTCGGTGTTTGATTATGTGCGTAGTTTAGACTATGAATGTGATGAAGTAGGAATCGGAGAAAGATGTATCTACGTACCAATTACGTCAGAGGAGACCTTGGTAAGAGAGACTGGAATAGACATCGTTCGACACTTCACAGTGAAGGACGTCAAGATTCAAAATTTGGTGACCAATATTTGTAAGTTTCTCTTAAATTCAGTCAACCATTTCTGAACAGAAATCCAACAGAAATCCTGAAATTGTCCGCTTCGTTATATATATTCTTTTTTAATTCACAAGATCAAATTAATTTGCTTTTTAGAGGGATTTCGAGGAACACATATATTTGATTGAGTGAATATGCTTTGAAATCGGCACTTAGATACATTGACGAGATATTATCTTTTACCAATGATCATGTCTATCCATCTATCCATATTTAGATCGACCACTTCTCGTTTTCTTCACCTTTCTCATAAAGCTAAAGGATTCAATCAGAATAAATCTTGCATGGTTTTACGATAAAAATCATTAGAGAAAAAGGAAGAAATAGACACATTCGATTATTTAAATATATTTTGATGGTTTATTTCAACAAAAGTTGTCACAAAAAAGAGGATATGTTTAAGAAGTAATATAACTATTAGAAATTATTGGATAGCTTGCTTACAAATTGTACGAGAAATAAAAATTCAAAAATATGTTTGGAACATGGCTTTTATGCAAAAGATGGTTATCCAAATTACACAACATTTTTGTTCTCATTCAGTAAATATTCCAGAGGAAATTCTTAACTGGGACTACGAAGCAAGATGTAGGTACGTAGAATGTGCAAAGAAAGGAACACAAACGATTCACAGGGCTCGTGTGATGATTGTTGGTTGTGCTGGTGCTGGGAAAACAACTCTTCTGAAACGACTACAGAAGCGATCTCTCGATGAATTACAACAGCTTCAAAGTACAATAGGCCTTGAAGTGCATGAGGACATCTTTGAAATTTTTGAGGGAAGTGAATTTTTAAAAGGTAATTGTTCAATTTCAACGTTTTTTAAATGAAAAACAGTCCAAATTTCACGAAAAATGTCTACATTGAACTGTAATTATTGTATAAATTATTCTTTGAAATATTCATTCAATTTAACAAAAAAGATCATTTACATGCATAATTTTTCTACACGAAAAAAATAAGAAACATTCAGCCATTTTTTGTTATTATAAAACCTATTTTTCTACTGAATTTTTTTACCCAGCTAATAGGAAACTATTGATATACGAGGGTTGTTTGGTAAAAGTGCGGACAAGTTGTCTAGATTGAAAAATAATCATCACTGCGTTCTAAAATTTTGACTACTTTAAGTACATTTTTCATCAATATACAGAGCAAATCTTATAAATACGAGGGGTGATCAAAAAGTTCGCGAACTATCTCTATATCTACAAAACCACAATTCAGATTAAAATGAAACTCGGTAAACACATAGCCATACACAAGGTCTATAAATAGCATATGCTGAATGAAGTTTTTCTCTTTGTTTGTGACAATGACGTCACTATGTAGGTCACTTGTGACGAAAAATGGTTGTCTCAGTCGAACTCGTTCAACAAACGACTGTACAATTTATTGTATATCTTTGAAATCCCTCTGCAGTATCATATTATAATTTGTACACAGTTTATTGAGATAAGTGAGTTCCTATAAATTCAATTAATGATTGGATTGATCGTTTTAGTGAAGGAAGGCAGATGGTTAAAAATGATACTTGTCAACGTGCCCAATGAAAGCAAGTTTGAAAAGATATGTATTTTTAATTAGGAAATTTGCTATCAAAGACCTCCAATTAACACTTTGAAAAATAGTTGAATATTTGAACAATAATATAATTATTAAATACTGTAAAACGAGAATATTTGGCGCACTACTAATTTTAGCGCCTTTGGCGCAAGAGCCCCTGAGCGCTAAAATTTATTGTGCGCTAAAGGATTTCTAAATATCATTTTTGTATGTGTTCAAAGCTTTCACATAAGGACATGTAAACCGGAACGCGCGATTACGTAATGTCGAAGGGTCATAGGACTTTATATACACATTAGCACTGCACATTTTCGGAAGCAGAAAACTCTGCCAAATTATAATTTAATTAAACTATTGTTACCCAGGTAGTTGTTACCCGATTGTCATCATTAGCACCTTCTAAGTTTGGCTTCTTGGAGTGCCAATCATCTATCGCCTCGAGGTTAACAATGCAATCAAGCATGGCGATTGAGCTTGCAGACAATACTGATTAGGATTACCGTTTTATCTAAGTAATTTTCTGTCGATGCATACATTGTTTTAATGTGATTTAAATGAGTAACCATTTCTTTTAATTTGAAAATAGATTTTAAAATAAATTTTAACATTGTACCACGTCTATATGATAGCAACACGTACCGCGGTAAAGGTAACGAATGTTAACTGATATATATGAGATTACATATGTGTTTCCGTGCTTGACTAACCAAAAAGTCAAATACGGGTGTGGATAAAAAAAAAACCAAAATATCACATTTATATATTTTACTGACAAGTGCAAGCGCTAAAATTTATTTGCGCCAATGCATTCCCACTTGCGTTTGCGCTAAAATACGTATGCGCCAAATTTTCTCGTTTTACAGTACCTAAGATATCGTTTACTTTAGATTTTAAACATATTAGATATGATAAAAAGAAGGCACCCATTCTCTATTCACCTTCAATAAAGGTCTCTCCCGAGACAGAAGATTTGTGTATTAATGGTCGCCATGCTTATTTTTGGAAAGGATATTCTTATCCACTCATTCTGTTGCCGAGATATTACCATTTCTGACAAATGAACCGTTCTTGTCATAAAAATTAACTCACATGAAAAGAAATATAAAACTCAGAAAAATCTTCCAACTTTTGTGACAGAAAGCTACGGAGGGGGTCACGTGACCGCCAATATCACGTGATTCACGCATGCGCAGAACGGTGGTTGATGTGCATTAAAATCGGGGAGGATTAATTTAAAATGTCATCAACATTGAATCCAAATATTATTTCTTTTATGGAAGTTATTCAATTAGTTCGCGAACTTTTTGATCACCCCTCGTATATGTATAAATAAACAAATTATAACATTTTATGTCATGTGCCTTACGGTGCACGGATGACGTCAAAGTGTCTAAAGCAGCGTCACAATATATTTCCCCCTTTCCTAAAAAAATTGGATAATCCCCACTTAAACATAGGAATTTCATTGATGCATATACTTGTGTTTCCCTTTATTCCTCCAAAACAATCAAGGACCAATCTCACACACATATAGGGTCTTCTGCAGATTTATTAGTAAGTTTTGGACAGTACTGTCATTGTCATTAAACTGAATAAAAAATCTAATATCGACGGTATCAGCGACAGAATACAGTGAAAGCACAGGTACCTGACGTTACTTATTTTTCTTTAATAAAAAAATATACGCCCTACCTAATAATAAGCATGGTTTATTAACAGCGTCTTTCGCTATTAACCTATCTGTTTGTCTGTTTGTTTTCTTGTACCTGGGGACACGATCAAAAAAGATTTCACTAAGAACATTTCCATATCAACTGTATGCTTAAGATCTGGTGATATATTTTTGTTTACTTTTCCCCTTTTGTATTCATTTTAAGTCTCTAAATCATAACTACATGTATATTAAACGGATATGCCCTGCGGTGCTCCGTTACGTAACGTAACGTCATCGAACGCCGTCATTTTTTGTGTGTTGTGTTTATCACTTTCCCATTTCAATTGATGAGGAAACTGTCAAAAAGTATCCAATTGCCTTGAAATTTTCCAAAAGAAGACACAATAGATAGTGAATTAAAAAAGGGGATAATTGTTACTTCATTCTTTTTCTATTTAATAATTTTATTTCGAAAAACTACTCGTGTATTTCAATATGAATGCGAGATCATTTTGATATTTCTACATTAAAATAAGTTTTTTTTCATTTAAAACTGCAAATTTAGCTGTTACAGAGGAAACAGATAATAAGGAAGGGAAGCAACTTTTGAGTGTCATGGACTTTGGAGGACAGTGTGCATATTACGCCTGTCATCAGGTGTATCTCAGCAGAAGGGCTTTCTATCTACTAGTGATAGATATGTCTAAGTCGTTTGGTGAAAAAGTCGATCCAGCACTCTGTGAACAGGAAGGAACAATGTTTGCTGACTGGACATATGGGGGTGAGAGACCAGTGTTTTTTCTATCAATGATGTTTAAAAGTGAATAGATATGAATGTCATTTTATTCCATTTACAAATGAAAAAATCACAATCAGTACATTCCTGCGAAAAATCTTAGAATTATTAAAGTTAAGTCTGAGGTTGAGGTACATATGCACTCAGGACTCCAGTTGTGTGTATTAAAAGAAATATATTGATTTCGGAAGAATATTCTTGTAAATCATCCTTACGTCATGGTCTGAGTTCCATATATGTATTAAATCAAGTTCATTAAAGAAATTAAGTTTTTACATTTAAAAATGTTAGATTCTTTTTAAATCTAAACTATCCTGAAAACCTTAGTAAAATAGCTATAAGTCTTAAAGTTCAAACTTTTTATCAAAAATCGCAAATATAACAACTCAAGTTCTATTTATATGAGTAAATGAAAAAGTTTAACCACGCAGATTTTAATTTTTCATACTTAATTTCATATAATGGGATTTTAAGGACAGATGATGCAAACAACCTTTTGTCATCAGAATTAAAAATAACAACTTAAGTCTTCTTTCAGTAAGTAAAATGAACAAGTTTAACCGTGTAGTTTCTAATTTTTCATTCAAAGTTTCACAAAAATGGAATTTGAAATGAGAAACATTTGTATAGATTTATAAGGATGGCTGCAAAAAGGTAGAATTTTGAACATCAAAGAAGGTTTACACTATCTTAATATTTTGGAAGTTTATTAGTAACATCATTTGCATCAAAAATAGTCCCAGATATATTTTCCAATCTAGGCATCCATTTATTGCTTGTATCATATGTTCTTAAGTGACAAAGAATCGTATTGATTAAGAAGGATTGTAGAAACTTCTTTATATTAGAAAATAATTCTTTTTTTAAAGATATTATTTACAGCAAAAATGGATACTAGTATTTTGCTTTCCTATCCAAAGAATGCGCAAAAAAGAAACACAACTAATCAGATCAGACCTTAAACCTAAGAGACTCAGGGGTGTCTGCCCCTTTGTGTGATGAATAGCTCAGTATCTAAAATTGAAAATTTGAATATGCAATCTCTTGTTAAAAATTTCCAGTATAGATCAGTTGGTTGGTTAAGAATGATAATGTCTTTCCGTAATTGGGCATGACTTTCTTGTGAGAATCCGATTTTAGTTCTCAAGGAGATTTTTTCAAGGGTTCTGACTGGCATATTCATAATAGCAGCATGGAATGGTCTTGTCCTTGGGCCGAGCTATCTAGCATTCTCATAAAGACCTTACAAAAATTTCCATTTTTTGGTTGTATTTTCTACCTTTTGTTGCTTTAAATAACTATTTTCTTCTGTGCAATAATTACAGTCGTTCTAGCTGGAACAACATCGATTTCTTGTAAGGTAAATCAAAAAACTAAAAGAATATATCAACAATGTTCGAAACCAAAATGTTGGAAAACATTAGAACCCTTCATCGAATTTTAAGCATCGTAATGAATGTATTGAAATACCGAAATTAAAAAAATAACAATACAAAACAGGAGCAGAGCAAACATGGACCTCCAAAAAATAAGAGGTGGGATCAGGTCCATACAAGATGACTTTCACTGGCTCATCGTTACGACTACAGATAGACATCACATATTTGATCAAAGATTTTATTTCTAAATTCACAGAATACCTCCTGTTTTGGCTGAAGTCGGTTCACACCTATTGTGACAGTGATGCCTCTGTAATCATCATTGGAACTCATCTTGACAGAGTTAAAGAGCAGGTTCTAGAATGCCATTGTTATATGTATTATTTATCACATATCCTTCAGCATCAAACAGTTAAAAGATACAATATAAATAAATATTTACTCTAATAAAATTTTGAATGCATACATTGTTTGAAGATTTTTAGAAATGCCGTTTTTTGCAGAATTCTGACACTTTCTACAACAGTATACTTGACCACCTGAAGTTAAACAAACATTTGAGAACACACTTGGACAGGAAAAGATGCTTTGTGCTTGGCTTTCAGACAGATGGTGCATGTTGCAATGATTCATTATCAGAACTAGAGAAATGTATTGTTACAATTGCTAAAGAAGATAAATGGAATGAAACCATTCCTACAGACTGGGCTCTTTGTGAAATTGTATTCAGAGAGAGCAGAAGACGAAAAATCAGAATGACTTCTATCGGAGATCTATCATTTAAATGTTTTGGTGGAAACAGAGAAAAATATATCCAAATAGGAGATGTTTTAAAGTTTTACCATGACATAGGCGTCTTACTATACTTTAATGACAACAATATGTCTGAAACTGTCATCATTGATATCCAGTGGTTTATTGATTCATTTAAGAATATTATTACCGACCCAAACCACGTCAGGGATATTGCAGAAAATTACATGGATTGGTCGAATTTTTACGAAAGTGGACATATTTTAGATAGACTTTTAACTGATATATGGAGCACCAGGCATTTTGAAGTAAATTTTTGGGACAGAAATCAAAACAAAACAAATCTTCTTCAATATATACAGCGTCTATGTCTGATCGCTGTAGGTACTTACGCACATTATATTCCCTGTATGAACAAGCGTGCGTTTGGAATTAAAGAAGAAAATTATTGTCGATCTCTTCAAAGTAAAACCTCCGTATTGGTCTTTCGATTTCAGTTTCTGCCATGTTTTTTCTACTGCCGCCTTATTGTTGCTTGTTTAACGAGGACCAATGGAGAATGGATGGTGTTAGAAGACAATGGACTTTGTTTGTACAAAAATGTTGCCTGCTTTGCTTATAGGCAACATGTAGTCGCTCTAGCGGTAAACAATTCATCAATTCAGCTTCAGATTTTTCAGCCCACCAATGTTCTTGTAATGAAAGAAGTAGCTTTGAAAGTACGCAATGCTGTTGAAAGCTTACTGAAAGACCTGCTTTGCAACTTCCACAAGACAATTGAAATGTTTACAGTTGGATACCAATGTTGTAAACAGGAAGTGTTTCGGGAACACGATGATTGTTTTCTTGAAGAGAAAGACATTTACAGAAAAGGGAAGATAACTTGTCCAAGGCATGGAATGATCAATCACCACGTAATATGTGAATCGTTTCTTCTACTTTACTGGAAAGCGGTGAGTGAAACGTAATAATTCATTATTAACGTTATTGATTGCAATAGCACATCTTTTGTTTTTGGTTCATTATTAATATAAAAATTATGTAAAGTTGTTTATACAAAAAATATTTATTATATTTTGTCTCTATTTTCAGGATGTTATAGCGGATATTTCAGGTATCCAAATGGAATAATCATTTTAGTAAATTATTATGGATACAGGACTTATTTTTCTAGAAGAGAAATTGTTTAAGAAATGATTTTTACGCATTCTGTAAGTCTTTATATGGCTTTGATTTCTCAGAATTGGACGACCTCCTGGATCAAGATGAATGTACCAGTCTCTCTGAATCAGAATTAAGGAAAACGAATTTCAAGACTTTTGAGAAACTCACAAAGATAGGAAGGGACGCTTTGCAGCTCTATTTTGACCGAATATTTCCACCTATAGACCTAGTTACAACACTTACTTTGAACAAGGAAAGTCTGCAACGTGGACAATTTAAAATGAATCAAGATCAGTGTAGTTTTTTGTCCACGTTGCAGACTTTCCTTGAAAAATGAATCAAGATCAGTGTAGTGGCGAAACGACTTCCGGTGTGGCTGCGCAAATGGCGTGAAGTGAGAAGGAGCAGAGGGTCGTTTTTTCTGTTTTCCTAAGTGAACATTGATATTTGATACGAGGTATTGCAGATAGTTTTCTTAATTACGTGAAGACATTCGTGTTTTAGGTGAATTTCAGGTATTTTCCTCTTTGTTAAATGCAACAGACTGTTAGTCACTACTTTGCACAAGGAAATTCGGGAAGCTCGTGCAAGATGCCGAAGAGAAAAGATACGGAGAAGGAGAGTGCGCAAAACGATGAGGTGTCAAATAAAGAGTTAAAGGAACTTTTCTCTGATCTAATACAGAAGTTGGAGAGTTCAATGAACGAGAGGCTTACTGCGCTTGACAAAAAAGTAGAGGAAACGCTGATCGTTATTAAGGAGGAGATAACTGATATGAAAACAGCGCTTCAAAACCAAGATGACCGATTAACTGATTTAGAAAAGCTAAACACAGAGGTTATACAACCCCAAAGTAAAAAGGTAAGCCTTCTTGAGGCTTCTTTAAAAGAACTGCAAGATCATATTACATACCAAGAGTTAAGATCTCGGAAATACAACCTCTTATTTTATGGCATTCCTAAAGCAGAGAATGAAGTTTCAAACGAGGTTATTGTGAAATTTTTGAGTGAAAAATTGGGCATGTCCACAGCAGAGTCTATAATGATTAAAAACGCTCATAGGGTTCCAAAAAACCCCAACAGCAGTTACAAACCTGAAGCACCAGAAGCAGTCATTGTTAAATTCGTTCTTATGGAGGACCGTAATATGATACTAAATCATGCCAGAAACACTACCCTACCGAAAGGCTATGCAATACGAACAGATCTACCCGTGCATTTGAAGAGAAAGAGGGCAGAGCTGGCTCAAAAGGCATATGAACTCAGGAAATCAGGAATGAAGACGAGAATCCGTGAAACGAAAGACGATGTGATTCTGGAGTATCGACAAAAAGGAGAAAAAGAATGGCTCGCTTTTAGTGATTCCTTCTAATTGATCTAGATAAGAACAAGATTATTTGCAGGAGATGACAGGTTGTAGGAGTATGATATGGTGAAGGTTTTGTATATCTGTAAAGTGCTGAGTTATGCTACAGTTGGTATCGTGTTGTTTACTTGTCAAATAATAAGTATGTTTTAGATGCTATTAGAAAGATAGACTCAGGTATGCTGCAGATGTTTAAAAGTAAAATACCAGTGTTTTGAGCTTTGGATGATATCTGTAAAATTCAGAGTTATGCCTTAGTTGTTAATAACTTGTAAAATATTGAGAATTTTTGGTATCGTTATCTGTGAACTACTGTGTTATGTCATAGTTGATAACTTGTAACATATTTACATGTAGTATGTCTCAGGATATATATTTGTTTGGCAGCTTATGGTTTGCTGTATAAATTACATGGGGACATATTGGTTTTTTCTTTTTAATGTAATAAATACCTAAATTGCAACAAAGATTACAAAGACTACTGGTAGAAGTTCTTAGAGGAGCTTGTATTTATTATTATTTTTTCTATGAGAGAACTACGGTTCACTATCTTATTTAGGTGGCTAAGTTAAATTAAAAAGACCCAATGCGATGTAATACATGAATTTTCTTGATTTGTTTTGTTACCATACAGGAAGTATTTTTCATTTTTGATATATGTGTGAAAGAATGGAGAGTATGCAACATGCATATTTTTTTGCCTTTATTCAACTGTGTAGTGTAATCTATGACTAAGTTAAAAATTACTTCTGTAAACTGCAGAGGTTTACATGATTCTATGAAAAGAAAGGATGTCCTAAACTATTTAAGAAATTTTAAATCATCTATTTATTGTTTACAAGACACCCACTGTACAGAATTAGAGAAAAATTCAGTTTATGCCCAATGGGGTAATGACATACTCATCAGCTCAGGAAAATCAGATGCAAGAGGGACTTTAACCCTTTTTAATAACACAAATGAAATAAAAATTTCTAAAGTTTATAGTGATAATGAGGGGAATTTCATTATATCAAATATAATGGTGGATAACAAGTACTCAATCACTTTGGTTAATTTATATGGTCACAATAAAGATAATCCTAAATTTTATGCAGAAATAAGTGATAAAATGGATGATTTTTTTGATACTGACTTTATAATTATGTGTGGAGACTGGAATGTAGTACAAGATTACCAGTTAGACTGTTACAATTATGTTAGAGAAAACAATCCCAAAAATAAACTTGAAATTGAAAAATTAAAATCAAAATTCAATTTAGTAGATCCTTGGAGAATCAAAAACCCAGATGCTAAAAAATATACATGGAGTAGGAAGAACCCAGTAAAACAGGCTAGACTTGACTTTTTTTTAGTATCAGAGGAACTCTTATCAATTATAAATGATGTTCACATGATGCCAGGCTATAGGACTGATCACTCTATCATAGAATTAGATATTACTATTAATGAATTTAAACGTGGAAAGGGATTCTGGCGTTTTAACAATTCCTTATTGAGAAACAAAGAATTTGTGACAAATGTTAAAAAAATTATAAGGGAAACGGATAATGAATATCGTATTGATGAATCAATGTTAGGAATACCAGATAATCTTTTTCTTGATGTTCTATTAATGAAAATAAGGGATATGGCAATACAATTATCTGCAAATTTGACCCGAGAAAGGAGGGATCACAAAGCAAAGATTGGAAATCAACTTAGAATTTTACATGATATGTATAATAATTACCCTTTGTCAATTTATCTAGATATGATAAGTGACCTTGAGACAGAATTAGAGGAAATTAGAAAATATGAATTGAAGGGGCTATTGTTAAGAAGTCATTGTAAATGGATAGAAGATGGGGAGAAACCTACAAAATATTTTTGTGCCTTAGAAAAAAGAAATTATGTCAATAAAAATATTAGCAATTTAATCAATAATGATGGTAAATATGTAAATAAGCAAGCAGATATCTTAGAAGAAGTAAGGAACTTTTACAAAAAATTATATGAAAACAAAGATCAGGAGCTTGATGATGTAAATATTGAAGACTTATTCCAAAACTTTGAGGTTCCTAAAATAAATAATGATATGAAAAACATTTTAAATGCTGAAATTACAAAACAAGAAATACTTCAAGCTCTTAAAAATTTTAAGAACGACAAAACACCTGGAACTGACGGTTTTACAGCAGAATTTTTCAAGTTTTTTTGGACAGATATTAATTCATATATTCTCAAATCCTTTAATTACAGCTATGAAGTAGGTCAATTATCTTATACTCAGATGCTTGGAATTATTTCTATTCTACCAAAAGGCAATAAGCCAAGGGAACACTTAAAAAATTGGCGACCAATTACATTATTGAACATTACATATAAACTCTTATCTAGTGTCTTAGCAAATCGAATGAAACCAATTCTGTCAAAAGTAATACATGAAAATCAAAAAGGGTTTCTTGCTGGTAGATATATTGGTGAAAACTCAAGGTTATTATATGACATCATACATTATTGTAAAGAGAATGATCATTCAGGTATTGTTTTATTGATTGACTTTGAGAAAGCATTTGACTCTATTTCTTGGAGATTTATTTTTAAAGTACTCAGATTTTTTAATTTTGGTGAGAATTTTTTAAAATGGATAAAGATTTTGTTTAGAGAACCTAAGTTATGTGTTATTCAAAATGGTATTTTTTCTGAATTTTTCCAAATGGGACGAGGTTGTAGGCAAGGTGACCCAATTTCACCTTACTTGTTCCTACTATGTGCAGAAATAATGGGAATTATGATTAGAAATAATAAATTAATAAAGGGCATTGTTATTGAAGATAAAGAATATAAACTACTACAATATGCTGATGATACAGTTTTATTAATGGATGGTTCAGAAGACTCAATTAGATCAGCTTTGTCTTTAGTCAATCAGTATTCCAAATTCTCTGGACTGAAACCAAATTATGATAAAACTCAATGTATTAGGATTGGATCTACTGTTCATACTGATGATAACTTGTGTGATAAATATCAAAACTTGATGTGGTCACAGGAACCATTTACAGTGTTAGGTATAGCATACTGTGTAGATCTAGACACAAACACTATGTTTGATTTGAATTTTTTGCCAAAGATTGATTCCGTCAAAAAGCTTATATCATCATGGTCTAGAAGACATTTATCAACGGCAGGTCGTATAACAGTAGTAAAAACCTTGCTTTTACCTAAATTTAGTCACTTATTAATTAGTTTACCGAGCCCTTCTAAAGAAAAACTCAAAGAAATTGAAGCTATATTTTTTCATTATATCTGGAATACCAAAACGGCTAGGGTTGCTAAAAATATTATATGCCAAAGTTATGAAAACGGTGGTATGAGAATGACATGTCTTGATTCATTTTGTAAAAGTTTAAAAATTACATGGATTCGCAGATTGTTTGATAGTTCATGTAAATCAGCCTGGAAAGAATTGCTAAAAGATTTAATTCCTGACATTAAATATTTAGTTATCTATGGTAGGGATTTTTCAAAAAAACTTAAGAAAGATACGGAAAATGTTTTCTGGAATGATGTTTTTTCAGCATTGTTGGATTTGAGATTATGTATTGATGATCAAACATCTATTTTAAGTCCCATATGGTATAATCCATCAATATGTATAAATAACAGAAGTGTTTGTTATAAGTCATGGCTGAGACAAGGTATACAATTTGTTTTTGATTTTTATGATACAAATGGGACTTTGTTAGGATACCAAGACTTTTGTAAACAATATGATTTAAAAACACCTTTTACAATGTTTTTAGGCATAACAAATTGTATTAGAAAATTACAGTTGAATTATGATCATAATATAATTCAAAGAAATCAACCTTTCTTCCCAAAATTCTTACAAACAATAACAAAAAGCAAACAAGGGGCAAGAGATTTCTATGATGTTTTTATTAGTCAGAAATACAAAAAACCAAAAAGTGAAATGAAATGGGAAAA